TAATGAAAGAAACCGGGATGAAATAAGAGCGTGGAAGGAAAGACAGAGCTAGGTGTTTTAGTATTGGATTAACACATTTTACACAAAAATGAATTGAGAGAATGCAAATGTTACCTCCAGGCCCGCAGGAATGAAAAAGCCCCAAAATATGGCTAATCTGGACTCGGGACAGATGTAGCAATGGCAGGAGTACCAGAGTTTCTCCAGCAAAAATGGCTGCTGTACTTCCACACCAGTATCACAGCAAATATAACTGCAATCGCAGCAAAATAAGATCCATAAACCACGAACTGAAAAAAAATACAAATATAAATATCAACCGGAGACGATCAAGACATTTGGTTATAGCCCAGTTAGTAATATGTGCTAAAAATAACCCAAGCTGCCGATGTTTCTCTTTTTTTGGGGTTACTTAAAAGAAAGTTGCTGGCGATTTCGGCTCCCTGAGATGCGCTTGCACCAATTATCATCGAAACGAATGAAGGAGTCGTAGCGGAACTGCTTATCTCACTGGCAGAGTCGAACTCTGGACGACCGGTGTAAGAGAAGAGTTGTCTGCCTCTGCGCCAGTATAATATACAGTTCGAAAATTTTGCCAGGGTCAATGTATCTAGCAAAACCAGTACGAAGTAAACGTCCACGAGAAACATTAAGAGCTAAAAACCTGCGTAGAAATCGGCAAAGACAGTCCGTGTTTGTCCGCAACGACGAACGTGAGAATAGTTTGTAGCACGAGTGCTAAAAAAGTATTCCAGCCAAATACCAGGCCATAACTTGCTGAGTCCAACTGCGATGCGACATTTGCACTGAAAATGAGCTGTTTCGCTAGCAGCTCTAATGATTATGATAACAGTCATGCACAAAAGTTATATCCACGAAATCCAGTTGTGGTACTGAATAGGAGAAATGTATGTGAACTAATGGACCAAAACATTCCTTTCCTTCCATCCACAATCATATTATAGCATTTTTTATAAATATTTTTCCAATTAATGTTTTTCCTTTTTCATTTCGCACTCATTTAACGTTTTTTATTCTTCATTACTCTGGCCTGCCACTATCCTTGTTGTCATTCTTTATACACTGCGAAATTCGACAACAGTATAGAATGGGCTAGGGGTTATGCTTATGGCTGGATTCATGAACGAATTAGGTTAATTTTCAAAGGAGAGACCTCTGAGCACAGGAAAAAAGGTCAGGTGTTTTAAATGGGAATCGCGAATGCTACGGATCTGAAATTTTGGCACTTTTCGTAAGTTAGGTGACTGGAAACATAAAACTGCGTATTTTTTGAATTGGAGACTCGCAACAGTTTATTACTAATTTCATACCAGCAAATTTATACATATTCAAGTATGTAATGAATGCTGTTTTGGTGGTTGCTCCGTTGACCGTTTGAAAAAATACTTTTCTTAGGATAGTCCATTTTAGGACAGAGAAGCAGACCTCGCAGCTGTTATGAGCAAGTGATAGATCGTAATGACCGCGACATAAAGCACGTATGCGACAAGAACACTACTGGTCCGAGACATGATGAGCAGTAGGGTGGCGATAAATGCCGATGTGATCAGCAACACTAACTCTCCTTGCTTCCTCCAGTTCGTATGCATATACTGCACCAAAAAACTAATCACTGCTCCTAAAAGATTTTTATAATTCGAAGTCTTAAAATACTTCGACTAGCCGCTTAATCAGATCTGGTTTTCCATCTATAAAGTTGGCAACTTTTCCAACTACTTTGAATCCGGATTTTTTTGGCCGCTTCTTTGGTCCGGAGTCGAATCCTCATTCTCCATGAGCATACCAGGCACATAAATTACTACCGAAAATTGATAAGACGCTTGATCACACAAATGCTTGAAAATTTGACGGCAAGTATTGTTCAACTGATGGGGGCATAAAGAAAAATAAAAGCTCTCGCTATGGAAAAAGTTTATTGTGGCAGTTGCTTACCAATAAGTGTGTTGGCGCATTCCGTGATTCCGTTGAAAGTATCCGAATTTATTTGTAATGTGGCCCAAAGTGTTTGAACGTAATTCATCACCTTCAATAAAACTTGCAATAGTCGATTCACAAAGAAAAAAAAAGTCAGTTAAAAAAATATTTATAGATATTTACAACTGGAAAGCATACAGAACTCTCCTCAGATTACTCATATTCGATTAACTGACCATTATAAAAATACTACAGAGAAATAGCCAGTGTCCACTTCACCACTGATTGTTAATTTAGAAGCCTGTGTCTCTGATTTCTCTAGTGAAAAGCGATTAAATCTCCCGGGCTGACATACTGCTGGTTTTTGGCGTCGTGCAAATTTCTGACTTCACTTTTTGTCACTCGGTGTATTAATCCTGAGGTTTATCGAGTCCTGCATAGGCATGGAATATCGGTGTGGAGTCCTTAATTTCATTCACAGCAAATTTGAATATCTAACTAGCCAACCAGCTTGCTTCATTCTACCAAAATCCGCTATTGGATGGACTCAAAAATGGAAGGATGAATTAGCATCCAAAATCAGCATGCTTGTCTTCTGATCAATATGATACTATTCTGTACCGGCCTTGGAGAATATCCTGCAGTATTTTCTTTTGCTGCTCCTTGCCTTTAATTACCCCTTTTCTCACTCTTATCCGCTGCCCTACTTCTCCGGCTAGTCCGATTTTTCGTTTCTATTTCATCCGCAACAAATCTGATAAGCCTCGTTTCAGCTCTGCTGTGCTTTTCACATTTGAAAGTGTCACTGTACAGTGAACTCAAATGGAGGCAAACAGCAGTCACGCAGACGTTAAAGAGGGCATTGTAAAGTGACCTGAAAAATGCCACAGCTAGTCAATGCCCACCAGATGCTCCATTTTAGTACAATTTTATTCCTTTCAAATATTTTGAAATGATGCCAAATAGCTCGAAAATAAGCGGCTATTCCCTGATCAACATTCGGCCGCTTCGAATCGAGCGCCTTCCTGAAAACGAGTGGAACTAGAAATAAATGATATGGAAAAAAGAGTGGCAACAACGAGCGTTCATTGAAGGCGCATTTATTAAAAATGCCAAAACCATCTAGCCCATACTAATGGCATTTTTAATACATGCGCCTTTAATGAAACCTATGCTCCAGCAGCGTCTCCTAATATCATGAGGGGAATTTGCAATAAAACTATGTAATCCGCGAAGCGTAACTGTTTTAGCTGCTTGTCATTGTTCTCCAACTTCCCAACAACTTCCCAATCAAGCTGCTGGAATACTATCTTAAAATAAGCTAAAAAAATGTAAGCGCGAGGACAAGATCAGCGTTCAAACATACCGTTTTTACCATACTTTTGAGAGAAAAACATCAGCCTTATGAGAATGAAAAGTGAAGTTTGAAAATTCGTAAATTCCAAAGTCCCACTCTACTTTTCCTCAGTTGCCTGCACATTCTGGTAACCAAATTTCATAGCCCTCAACTCAGCCTTTCCTCGCCCAGAGTTTACACTCCAAAATCGCCAGCCCGAATCTGAGATCCGTGCCCAAATTTGTTTTTCTGCGCTAGATTTTTACCACATTCTGACCTTCTCCTTCTTTTTAATGGCAACGTGTTTGTCTCAGAGAAACAATACCTTTCTTCCGAGGTCGTTTCACTGTCCTTCGTTTTCTCTTCATAATCTTTTGAGACGTCAAAAGCTTTCGGCCCATCACCAATAATTTCGCACTGAACTTTACTCGCGATAATTTTTGATGGTATTGGTGGCAGTGCAGCAGCAATTCCAAGAATTATACATACTGCAGCAAATGAAATCTGAAATAAATCACTCAGTAAAAAACGATTACTAAAGCCAACACCCATCGAATTTCGATTTGTTGCGGCTAAGTTTTCTTTCGATCAATTTGTTTCAAAAATTGCATAGAACGTGGGCTGAATCTTCACACATTCTGCAATCGTATTCAGTTCTATACTACTGCCATCACTGAATATTAAATAAATAAATCTGCACCTACTTAATCGACACAAGCAGGCGTTATTGCACAAAAATGAAATGGACGCTAGCAATTCTGCAAATTTAAAATTTAACGTATCCATACGTGATTACGGCCGCTTAAGTTGTTTTTAGTTTTCAAGGCATGCACATGATCTGGACTATAGCGCACAAAAAAGTCATCTTTCAAGCTTACGAAGTTGCAGAGTGAGAAGGACAGTAATAAATTTGCACACTGAATTTTTCATATCTGAAAAATAAACGTGCGCGAAACACCAATTCACCTTTTTCTACGCCCTCAATCAGTCAAAGAACATATCCGTGAAATTTCAGCCTTCTGGCTTGTTTGGTTACCGACATGGAAAGCGTGTGTCAGCAATTCCCCAATCCCATTTTTCGCGTAGCCATAAGTCAGTTATGCACTGTAAAAACGTATACTGTTGAATTCGAATACCTGCCTAGTTATTTTTTTTTTCTAAATCAACAACCAGACAACATGCAAACCTGAACAGTCGCTGACTAGCTGCAATTCCACAAACGAGGAATCATTTTCACGCACTCCTCTTTCGAACTATGCGTGGAAAAAATCAAAGAAGAAAAGGTACTAACCTGATTCAATAGCAAATATGATCCGTAGTGAAATGAGACGAGAAACTGAGCGAGACCATATGCGAAAAATTTGCCGATCAAAGCAGCAGCTCGAATGTATGATGTGATAAGCTTATAATGCTTCTGATCAACAACAGCGTACATATACGAAAAATATGCTATTTCTGC